CAAACCAGGACGTTGAAGCGAAAAAGAAAAATCAGGAAATTGTTCTTAATTGGCTCCTCCTATAATTTGGTGCTTAAGTAAGTCGTGTGAAATTTGTTACAAATATGATATTGCTGTCACCGTGAGGGGGAACATTCGAGCGCTATTTTCTCATTAGAATGACAAAGCAAGACAAATTAATTATATAACTTAACAAGGCTGACAATGGCAAACATTTGAACGGAACAGTGGGTATTCTTATTTTCCAAAATTTCCTAGTAGACTTAGGTTTCAATAGCATCTTTTGGGTAGTTATGCTGGCATCACTGGTTTCCTCATGACTAGCTTATGTTGTCAGTATTAAGAAAATGAATGATTATAAGATAAGAGTTGTTGGAAATAGTTAAAAGGGGTCAACCAACTTGTAAATTTATTATCGTCTATAGACAGTCGACTTAATTTCAAAGCTTCGAATATAAAGGTGGGCAAGTCTTGAAGTGCCTTCGTTGATATATGGATCTTAGCCAATAATTTTTTGAACACATTTGACGCGAAAGAACAGGAGGACATAATTCAATAGATCGTTTTCACCGTCACGCAATAAACACGGCCCCCAAAAAAATAAATTGGAAACCGTTCAGTGGAAGAAGGCAAGAAAACGAAATGTTATAAAAGACTAATATATAAACAATTTGTCCAAGTCTCAGGTCTTTATGGCCCACGGTTTCTGAGTTATTTGCCGAAACGTTCTACGCACCTTTGTAGAGCTTTTGGTGATGGAGACGCCATATTTGTGTACAGTTTTGGTAAACAAATATGGCCGCTGGAAATCAACAAAACCATCTGGAGTTCACTTTTTCTATAAAAGCTCTTTCTTTTCACTCGAGAGCTAGCATACGTGCACATAAACACATCTTCTATTACTAGAAGAGGTTAATCAGGAGGAGAGACAATTTTTCAACGAGAAAGCAGTCCTATTTTGGTGTCACGCACTGTGAAAACTCGGAAGTTCAAATTGCTGTAATTTCATAATGGAACATGCTGCGGGACTGGAAACTTGTGCAAAGATTTATTTTTTGTTTATCTTCAACCTAGAGTAAATAAGAATTCGTAAAACCTGGTTATTTTGACTTTACAATTTCATGACGTCACCGTGAAAACCATCTATACGTTCAGAAACAAAGTGCGATGTATACAAAGGCCGGGTTAATCTGTTTGTTCTTATTGCCTTTCCGTACAACCTTCCAGTCGCACAAAGAGAGACTCAGAGGAGAGATAGAAACCCGTTCTTAATTGAGTCTGAGCCTGGGTATGTTCTTAGTATATTCTTAAAATTTTTGTTAATCTCATCGTGAACAATCTAATTTAAAAAGTTTCTTATATAAAATAGTGTGAATTCCACTAAATTACACGTTATAAATTGCACACAATACATTCTTTTAGCCGGTTGAAATGATTATTTCAATTTGTTTTCCAGCAGGGTTAAATTCTAAACCGCAAAACATCAGTTGTTGTGTAAACCAGGGAGAAAAGCTAATCCTTGATTGACGTATATCGGTGATTTATTGCAGGGTCTGTTGCGGTTACTATTTACTGATTCACAAGCTGTAAGGGAAGCGTAGACTCTTTCACTTTGTGTCTGAAAAATTAACGAAGGAAAGAATTAGTTAGAAAAGGACATTAAATGAAGTAATAATAACAGATGAAACAATAACGAAAGCTGTTCAAGAACCAATGGTCATACTGTCTGTCAGCTAACGCTCATCACGCTACCATTACTATGAATTATTCCCTAACTCCAACTCAGACCGGAGGGATTGTTGAAGGTTTTTTGAATAACTTGATGAAATTTAGGTTCTGCTGGGAAGTTTGTTGACATCATGCACATTAACTATACCTTGATGTTGAAAATGCTGGGTGCATTATTATGTGTAATTTTGGTGGCCGCATTATGAGCGGCTCTAAAGTTAATTTTTTCTGAGGCCGGGGCCTCCGTATCTTTGATCTCCCCCTCTCTTCCCAGCAACAGAAGCAAGACTGAATAGGGTTACATGCTATAACAATTTAATGATTGAAGATTTATCATCTAACAGAGCAAAGAGAAGCTTCTCCTTCTTTTGCATTGTCGTGTAAGTTGTAAATCGATCCTCGGCACAAGAAGTTGGGACTTACGATAGCCTGTGAACAGGCCTTTGGTCGAGCGGGGTAGGGAGAGGGAAAACCGAAAAGGCCTGTAGACAAACATTTGGGACCGCCGTTCCACGGTACCCGCTGTGCATCAGATCCTGATGCAAGCTCCTATTGGCGAGAACACTGACTGTTGACAGGTCTGATTGACATCGGCTTTTCGGTCGGTACGTAGCACGCGATTTGATCACAGAGTGGCAATAAAAAAAACAGTCCAAAGACTATTACCACGGGGAGGAACTACTCGCTCCGGCAGGTCAAAAGGCTCAAACTGTCTTTAAAAAAACACTAAGCTGGAGTTTATAGTTACCGAATCACATTGCAATTCTCCATAGCTGATGTAGCTTCGGTTTAAGCTGCACTTCAATCTTATAATTTTGGATCTGTAAATCACTATCCGTGATAATTTTTTAACGTTCTGCAAAGAAAACTAACGAGCTGGGCCAGGCTTCTGGATACAGCATTGCAGAAAAACATTACATTCACGTGCTAATTAAAAGAAAATCGCTTAGTTATTCAGATCGAGAAGACACTTTGGAGAAAAGTAAGACCCTTAAAAGCTTCACGCTTCAAAAGCAGTGGCTTGTTAAATTACAAACCGAACTAGCAAGACAAACGGCTTATTAATTCTCTTACCGGAGATCAACAACTTTTTGCAAAATCGACAATGAGGTTCGTGCTCCATTTCACTCTGTTTTCAGACGGAGCAAAACACCGCTCATTTCCCGCTAATTCTCCCAGGAGTTACTCACGCGCGAAATTGATTGACCGATAACGATCTTACTGACAGATGATCGGCAGGATAATTACAAGAGGGCGGAATAGCGGCCTCAAATGTTTGTCTACAGGCTCTCTCCCCCCCTTTCCCTTACCTTTCCTCGCTATTTCTTTCCCCAAACAGAGAGCCTGTTCACAGGCTAGACTTACCATTGTACACTGACTCAACATGGTGTACGCACATTCCGTCCTGCGAGGCTGTCGTGTTGTTTCAAGTTCATGTCTTCCATCTCCGATTTCACCTGACATCCCACTGAGTTGTGTGGCCCCTGCATTCTGTGTTGGATTCAAAGAGCTGCCCTGATTTTCAAGCTGAATCCTGAATGGGAAATGCAGCATTTTAGAGCATGAAATTTCTTGATAATACATGTAAATGTTCTTCAGCGAGAATCGTGAAACTATATAGACATAATAAAACAACAACGCAATTATGAGCATTGGGCATTTCTTTGCCTACCTTTCAGCAATTTCTCTTCTTGCATCTACAAAAAAAGGAACAGAAAAAAAGATAGTTAAAAAGGATCACGTACTAAAAACGCTTTCTACTCTATTTTCAGTTTTTTTCATTTTACCGATTTGACGAAAAAAAAAAACAGGTTTTTCTCCCACCTTTGGAGGACTTCAATTCGTTAACAAAATATTTATTTCGTTTCTGCGGAATAAAAAAAGAAAATAACGAAAATAGCCGTTTTAAGCGTAGTATTTTTTATTGTCCTCATAAAGGTCACTTTATGATACTTCAGCGAAGATGTATTCCTCAGTTTTAAATTGCTTACCACACAGGGTTCAATTGAAGGGTCCGAAATTTGGTGCAGCTGTACATTGTAAACAGCTCTACATTAAATAGTTCTCTTTTAGCCATTTATTGCTCACCAGCTACTGTTCAAAATTGTAACATTGAACCAAGGGTCCGATTTTAGGACCCTATGTTTGTGCGACTGCACCCCCATATCCTTTGAAACCAGGGGTCCGAAATGTAGATCCTATCAGCTAAAATGTGTTTGCTTTCAAATCTTACAGCCCAAACATAACTTTCGATCAAGTATCCGAAAATTCTGACCCTTCTTTTAATGGGCCCAAGGAGCAGGATTTTGGTTTAGTTGGCCAGTAAAATTGATTCTTAGCTGTATTTAAAAGCGTCTTGTCCACCGTTTAGTTTGCAGTCCTTTTTCATCCTGCCCTTCTCTCTACTATATTGGAGGTCCCCACATATTTATGTTGTAGCTAACTTTCTATCTCAGGTGATTTTTCTTTTTCTTTTGTTTTTGGGTATGGTGATGTATGCTAATGAAATTGAAACAAAAGAAAAATAACAAATTACCTGAGATAAAAAATTAACGACAACATTTCAATTAGTTATTCCCTGCAGTAAAAAGATTATCAGAGTATCCTTGAACGTAAACCGCTACAAACACGAGATTAATTCATAGGGACCAAATCAAAAGAGAGTGTAGCACGATATTTCAAACAAAATGAACAAACAGTCACTGATACACCGTGATAGCCGAAAATTTCAATGAGTATTTTTTAAACATGGGACCAAATCTGGCTAAAGAAATACCAACCCATCGTAATTCCTTTAGAAATTTTTTAAAGCAAATGTTTTCTGCTTCAGTGTTTTAGATCCAGTAACAGATGACGAAGTTTTTAACGAGATCAAACAATTAAATGAAAACAAGTCCAGTGGTCATGATGACAATATCTCTTCAAAAGTAATTTCTAGTTATATTGTAAAACCTCTGACACACATATTCAATTTGTCTTTCTTACTGGCAGAATTCCAGATGCACTCAAAATTGCCCTTGTAACACCAGTATATAAGGAAAATGATAAGCATACTTTTTCAAATTGCAGGCCAATATCCGTATTACCCTGCTTCTCTAAGATACTAGAGAGACTTATGTACAAAAAAGCTATTACGTTTTTCAATAAGCACCATCTTTTGTCCAGATATCAATATGGGTTCAGAGCAGGGCACTTTACTCAGCATGTGGCCATAGAACTTGTTGATAAAATCGAAAGAAATAAATTTACACTTGGAATTTTCTTAGATCTTTCAAAGGCATTTGATACTGTGAATCATGATATTCTGTTAGATAAACCTGAGTACTATGGATTCAGTGGGATGTTATTAGAATGGTTTCGTAACTACTTAACAAATGGGAAACAAATAGTTAGTTATAGATCAGTTAAGTCAAAAAGTTTCATCATTACTTGTGGGGTTCCGCAAGGGTCTATATTAGGTCTCTTGTTGTTTTTAATAATGTAAAAGACATTTCAGAAAGTTCAAGTTCGTTATCATTTTTGCTGTTTGCAGATGATACCAATTTATTCATCAGTGACATTGCAGTTGTTTAAAAGAAAATTGAAATGATTAATTTGTTGAACAGAAATCTGATACTGACTCTACATAGTGGAACATATATACAGTGTAATACCGACTCTTGCTGCTTAATAATATGAAAGGCCACCATATTCATTACGAATGTACGTAATGCATAAGGGACGGACCATTAGGAAAGTGATGGGGGTGGGGAATTTTCAGCTTGCACGGCTTCTGCAGGAATTTTTTTTTCAGGTGAACCCCTCTGCACGAATTTTTTTTTTTAGACAAATATTGCTTTTTTTTGAACAGTGAAATCTTGATTTACTATCTATGTTTTTGTGCTTTATAAATTATTCTACACTCACAACAGATCAAAGGATACACGCCACTTTCATGCAAAATCTTTTCGAAAATGTACACACAGTGAGAGATGAGGAAGCCACTTGGAGTGGACGGCTTCCCTGTGCATTTTTTTCAGTCCCTGCCCTGTGGAATTCCTCTCCCACAGCCCATCATAATGATGCCATACTCCATTCACCAATGAAAACCATTTGTCGTTGAATGTACTTCTTCTTCGTGTAACTTGGACCAACTCCCGTGAACTGGAGCCAACTATTCACCAGAGGCACCCAACAACGGTTTCGTCCAAAATGCGTTGAAAACACTTTTGAGGCTATCAAGAGTACTTTTAGACCTCTAGAAATGCATTCAAAGCGGTGCTATGAAATGTTTATCTGTTCGATCATCAAGGGAACTTAAGTCTTTTCGAATTTTAAGGCGAGGGCTTCAGTATTATTTTCCCGAAAATTTTAGAAACAATTTAACGCATTACAAAAGAGAAAAATTTTTTATTCCTCTCTCCATCACATTTTTGAATCCGAAAATATTTTGGTTCCCTTTTTCCTACCGAAAATAGCCTAACCTGGGGTGTGTAATCTGAAAACTCTAAAAACTTCAGAAAATCGTAGGGAATTTATTAGATAAGCTTCGAAAATTGCACATGAATAGTTTAGGCTACATGACTGTTCCAGAAATGCTGGAGACAATGCACGAAAATGATCTATTTGATGTTTTGAGTGTTTTCTAATGTGGTACATATCCCTGGAGTGGTACCTGCTACATTGTGTTCTGCAGAATGATCATTCTGTGCGTTGCGCAGATTGAAAACTTACCCCCGCAGCACTGTGGGGCAACAACGAGTCAGTAAAATCGTCAGTATCATTGATATCTTCGGCCGTCAGAATGGCAAATACAGCCATTTCTTTTAATGTGTTTTATGAGCTCATGTGATACATTTGTATGTAAGAATATTTTCACTTCATTTTTAGCCCCGTGTTAGTGCATCTTACGCCCCTCGTTTCTTTTTTACTGTTTCGTAAAAATTTGGGCAACTTGCGCCAAGTTTTTGGGCATCTGGTTTACGCCCCTTTCCCCCCTCCCACCTGGCAAAAAATTGCCCGTGCGCCTATTTATTAACAGTTTCAACAGCTTTTGTACTAAATCCCCCACCGACACAGCACTAGAGTTTCTTTAGGAAACTAAACTTATTTATTTTTTCCCATATTTTCAAAAACATCATTTGGTTCGGCGATTAAATCAGCGTTTTAGAAACCAAATATTATGCAGTATAGAAGACATAACAAAAGATACCTTTCGTCTTGTTGTTGCGACGCCGGCAAGCAAAAATGAGGAACAATACAATCAAAACAACCAGTATGATAACAGCTAGCAGGATTAAGATGATTGTAGTGAAATCGGAAGTTTCATAGAAGATGCCCTCTGGAAGTACCTCTGCCAATTTGAAAAAGTGTTGTAAGTAACACGTAGCCGGTTTCCTTGACGAAGAGTACATCAAGTTCGTAAAAACAATTATTATTCATTCAAAATATTTCATCGCTTCTGATCGGCTAAAAGCACACGCGTAATTCACCATAACCAGTTACTGATGAACAAATTTGGAAGAATTTTGTGTTTAATGAGGAAATGACGTCAAACATGCAGCGTTCTTGCAGGTTAATGCATCGTTAACCGAGAAAACCCTGGGACGAGGTTGAGTTGTTTTGGTTGTCAAAACAAAAAAATGACGGACATTTCACTCGTTTCAGGAGTAAGAACTAGGCGAAATTATAGCTAAAAACGTGGTAAGAACAGCAAGAACACAACTCGAAGGGCGACATCTGCTAATTGGAGAATATTTGCAGAGCTGAACAACCCTAACCGTGCGCTATCGAAGGTGAACTTAACGTCGATGGAGGTAAACATGTTTTAGCTTTGTTTTTAAACTAGGAGTTATTTTGAATGAATAATAAAACAATTGTTGAATTCGGCTTTCGTATCATATGAAGAATTATGGAGATCTCGGAGGGTGTTATTCGCCTCGGCCTACGGCCTCGCCGACGGATAACACCCTCCTCGATCTCCATAATTCTTCATAAGATACTCAGCCTTATTCATTAATTGTTAATTAAGTTATATGCTGGCGTTATCCCGAAGGGTACAAGTGAATGACCGATGATCATTCACGTGGAAACACCCAAATTATACCGAGGTAATTAACCTCAAGGGGGTAATCTGGTTGGTTTGGTTTGCTTGTCCGTTTTTGTTTTTGTCGAATTGAGAATTTCAGAAATTTGCATTTAAAGGAGATCATGGTTTTTCTGGTACCTGGCCGGGTACTGGTATTGGACTACCTGGTTATTTTTTACAAATTATTACCCTTGCTTTTAATTCCCGATAACCCTAAATCCAACATTTTCTAATTTTTTCCTTAAAAGTAATCACTCCAAGCACCTCCCCTGATTTTATTCATTAAAAACATTAAGAACAATCCAAAATTCTCAACATTTATTGAGTCAGACTCCAAACCTATTAAGCCATTTTGATGGAATGAAATCTTGGCTAGATCTGTGAGAAAAAGTGCAAAAAAAAAATAAAACAAAAACAAAAACAAGGCCAACCACTTTGCCCCCTTAAGGCTAAGGACAATAACAACTAATCTGTTAGATTTGTATAGGTCATATATGATGGACTTTCTCAATAAGGTTGGTTCGGGAAGTGTTCTTGACTCTCTAACACTGAACAGCTGAACCACTGAGGATTTGGCATTGTTTGTTGGTTCTAATGCTTCAGTATGAGGAAAAAAGGCCATTGACGTGCAATGACTAGCTGTGTAGCCGAATGTCAAAACATTGAGCTATGCAAGAAATTATCCGCTCTTGGCAACCATTAATATAGGATTAACACGAAATGGTTCAGTTTGTATACTGCCGATGATCTGCAGATCTGAAGAACAAATCAAAAGAGTATGTTCACCAAAAAAAGGATCATTGTTGCAGTTTTTTGGGTACTGCCTTTGCCCGGGAACGACTACTCAGTGAGCTTGGGCACGTCAAAACGGTAGCCAGTACAGGAGGCGTGAAAATAGTCATGTATCCATAAGCAGGAATTGCCAGTACTATATTTAGCTTTATGGTGTTATTGCATGGCTTACCTTTCGTTACCATTGTCGTAGAACCCTGAAATGTATGTGACTTCAAATCATTGGTCGTAGATTGACTCTGTGAAGAGGATATAGACCGTTTCATTGTGGCTGTCCCAACAGATGATCCACCAATTGGGGAAGGTGCTGTGCTTTTCGGCAGCTTTGGTGACTTAGTTGTCCTCTCTAAAAAGAGAATTGCTTAGACGAAGTTCTACGCTCTGTAGTACAAATCGAACAAATGCATGGATTCGACATGATGTCAGTAAATTAACTGCATTAGTACATTCATAATCAATGCAGAAGAGACTGTGCACTGCCGCGTAACAGTAAAGGAAGGCTTTAGCTGTTCATTTCAAAACTAGCCGATACACAGACTTTGTTTTATATTTCTGTTCGTTCTTTTCGAAAAAATCGGCGAGCGCGCGAGAAAGAAAAATAAAGAATGTCTCTAGACATCTTTGGAAAAAATGAGGTTTATTAAGCCCCTCCCTCATGTCAACGCCACATCATTATTACCTCTGCGTTCGCCGTACTGAGTTTTAAGTATTTTACAATCAAACAACAATGGCACCCGGGCTCGACGGACTTTGAAGAGAGAATAAAGGGTCTGTGAACACGCTATCTCAAAACTAAACTCAATGAATGAATGTATCCAGCAGGTTAAAGACCAGACTGTACACACTGAATCATTTATAAAGTATTTATGAGTATCTCGGGACGGTGTATTAAGATTTTGAATTTTTTAAATAAGGTTTGTTTAGTGAAAAAGTAAAATTTAACATATTTTATTGCACGCGTTGAAGGTGCTGCATTATGCTGTCACCTGATTTTATCCCCCATGCGACGTCACAAATCGTGTTTCGTTAAACGGGGTTGAAACTTTTCAATATTAACTGCAAAAGGACCACGATAAACGATTATGCTGCAGAACGTGGGATCTTTAGAATACCCGATCAGCAAAAACATACCAACAACTCATATTCCGGTAGCTCTGTTTTGGGTTTTATCGATGTGGTATCTATGTCATAAAAAGTTTTGAATTTTTACGGGAGAGTAACATCATCTTTGTTGATTTCAATGTGTTAACTTGAAACTTGTCGCCTGTATGACGTTGACGGTTTCCCATAACAGATTGGAGAAATGGCTCATCTTGAACTCAAAACCACTGAATCTCTTGTTGTGTCAAGCCTACAGATTTTACTATGAGTGGATATGAACGGCTTTCTACTGTTTAGTCTCGCCTACGTAAGCAGCGCGACTCATGATCCGCTAGCCTGCGTAGCAAGCGTTTCTGTGCGGTTTACGGGAAAAGAACGAGTCAAGAGGAGTCAAGACCGCGAGAAAAGTGGCGCAAGTAAAAGAGCGAGGAGGGGGTGGGGAAGAAAAGGAAGAAACGCTTGCAGACAAACCCCGAGATTTTGAAAACCACCCACTTGGCCTGTCATGCCTGAGTTCGCGCACCGACATTTGATGCTGTCATCAACTGTCATTATTGGCCAATAAAATGTTTGGCCTTCCGTGGAGCGGAAATGAACTTAAGAGGACGCGTTTGTGAAACCAAAATATTTTTTTTTCTGTATTTTGGAACGCGTGGACGCCGTTAATAGTGAAATGTCAATAAATCCGAACGATCAATACAGGCTTTGTACGTTTGTCTTCTTAATCCGTCTAAAAGGAAGGACCTCAAGGGTGAATGAAGTTTTGAAGTTTTAGCTCCAAACCCGCCTTTCTGGCGGCCAGAAAGTCACTGGATTTGAAGTGGTAAAATGTGACAAGCATTAAAGTCGATCGATCTGCGACGCGTATTTGTACAAGGTTAAAGCTCAGCTAGACAGAACGGCTTACCGTTCTCGCCACGGCGCAGACAACTAGAGTGCTCTTGTAAAAGCATCTAAGAAAAAAGCTAACCCGGCAACTGATGAAGTTCGCGTGGAGAACCAAGCAGAAATTTTGACTGAGTCACAATGCAGGTCTTCCTAGTTGATGTTGCTTCAGTTTAAGGTGCAATCCATTCTTCGAAATTTGCGTCTGTAAATCACTATCCGAGGGAATTTAACATCCCGCAAAAAAAAAAAAAAAAAAAAAAAAAAAAAAAAAAAACACCAACGAGCTCGGCCCAGCATGACAAAACATTACGGGAAACCATCGCATTCCCTGACAAAAGAAAATCGATTTTAGTTATTCAGATCCAAGGGACAATTAAACGACCTGAAACCGTTATAAAGTCGCAAGAAGAGCTTTGTGTTTCCAAAGAAGTTAAAGAAAATGCTATTGCATTGGAGGGCAAATCTTGCCCGCCAGAATAAACAATAACCACAGAAAACTAATACGCGTGTCACGTACCATACATGACCTCTCAGTATGAAACAAACCTTTGATCGACACATGTCAATATTGTTCGACTAGCCGAGCCAATCAGGCGCTACGTTCGCTGGCGAACGCAGGTTTTCAAAATCGAGGGGTATGTCTCAAAGCGTTTCCTTCCTTCCCCTCCCCCTCCCCCCTCTTTCACTTTTTGGCTCTCGTTTCATTTCTCGCGCGGTCAAAACCGAAAGTCCCCTTCCTCGGTTTTTTTTTGCTCCGAAACCAAACGGAAACGCTTGCTACGCAGGCTAATGATCTACAAGCTGTTTTTTTCTTCGTATTTAGTGCACAAACGACGGTTGTTGTCCCAGGCGTCCTTGCGGAGACCGCGGAAACTGGGAATAAGAATTGTTGCGTGACCGAAGCCACGCCTGTTTTGCGAAGAAAGCTTAGGTTTAGAGCTTTTCCGGAACGGTTCTGTCAACGAATTCTATCGTTTGAAAACGTTGATTACTTTGAAATAAGTGAAACCTTCGGTGGTCGGAAAAAAAAAGGAGAATTATAATTATGAAAAGACTAACTGGTCGGGTGTTGCAAACTGTCACTGTCTGCAAATGAATCTTGTGATGAGCATGCGGTTTATTTTCGGCGACGATTGAAATGACGCGCCATGTTCTCATCAGGTTTTTTATCTTTGGCAGTGATGTAATTTCTCTCTAATCGAGGCCTTAGAATTTTCGTGTAACTATACACTCGTATAACCTGCGATCGCAAACGTAACTCCGGTCGTTGCTAACACGCGTACTAAATCAGAAACATTTCGTCGAATAGGATATAAAAAGTAAATATCCTGAAATACTTGACCGTCGATAAAATACCTTATTATAGGAAATTAACGCTCCATGAAATTAAGGTATTGGAAATTAACGCGACTTAAATGAACGCGAATTGGAAAATGAGTTTCGAATAAAGAAAATTAACGCGAAAGAGGAGGTAGAATTTCATAAAAAGGAAATTAACGCGATTATCTTGGCCGAAATCAAAGGAGAAGATATTGACATCACTTCTGACAGCGACAACGTTGAAGATGAACTCGAAATATTGTAAACCTTCGCCTTAGCTTTTGTGAAAGATGAAAAATAAAAGGTAAATGGAAAGAAAGAAAGCTTGTAGTTAATGTTTTTTAGGTGTCAAGAATGTCTGGACAGGTTTCAAAATTGGGGGGTAATTAAGAGCGCGCTGCACTTAATTAACGTCGCAGAAATTAACGCTCAAGAAAATTAACGCGAATTTTAATGATTCGCGTTAATTTCATGGAGCGTTAATTTCCTATAATAAGGTAACTAGGAAGTGAAAAACCTTTTGCGAGTAAATCCTGTTTCGTGTAGAATCGCATAATTAAGTAAAATCTCGCATTCTGATTGATTAACGAAGCGAGGTATTTAGTGTGGAATTGCGAGTTGAAAACGAGGCTAAGCGATATTGTTTCGCATCTACGTAACAACTATCGTCAAATTCTCACACAACAACATGCAAAAAAGGTTTTCTACAATGTCATTTAAAAATGTTTTCAAAACCATTCATTGTCACTTTTTGAAGAGTTAAAAACAAACAAAACCGTTTTTTAAAGTGAGCCGGAGGTTCTTCCTTGTTTTGAACTGAACTACAGATTCTCGAAGAGACATAAAACCTCTTTCACTCGCGACAACGAAAAAACAAGAAAATCCTGTGAACACGGCCCAGAAAATGGCAATCCAAAGTTCAACCAAACAAAACGGAGAAGCGACAACGGAGGAAGTGCCGGGGTCGATTGTCCCATATACAGAAGAAGAAATAAATACCTTCAAAGAGGACATGGCCCCTGAAAACACGAAAAAGAGTACGCCGCTTGCAATCGTCCTGAATCGTGGTACTTAGAAAAGTACAAAACAGAGCTGAACTTGAACAGCATTTCTAAAACATTTCAAGGTACTTACCTTATGTCAATCGCGACGTTAAACATGTTAAACTTTCAGTGCTTTTGCTTGGACACTTGATTTCTTTCTGTTTTGCCGCCGAAGAGGTAAAAGGTGTAAATTATTTTCCTTCTCGAGCAAATGACCAATTTGAAAAAAGACGTTCTACATAAACGGCTTCTAAATTCAGTAAAATACCTCTATTTATCCTTACGATTAGTGTGAAGCTTGTTTACATGTAAAAAAGTTTGAAAGCAAATGTGAAAACAAGCACAAGGTACAAAAAAAGTTGTTGACGGTTCAAACGGGATTCGCGATTCGTGCGATATCGGTTTTCGCGTGCAATTTAACGTGGAATTCCCTCATCAGGTAATGAATTTTCCTATCGAATTAATCACCTCCTCATTTCTTATCTAGTCTCCAAGCAAGCGAGACTAAACGCTGATTTTAAGAGCTTTTCTGTTTAATCTTATTGTTAGTGCATAATTAAGCTTTTATTTGGTGGACGGTACTAAAGCAAGCAAGCATGATGTGCTTATAATTCACTATCTCTAGCGACTCACCATTTGTACCACATGCCAAAGATGTCAACGGCCTCTCACAGATATATCCAGTGTTGGTCTTTATGGTCGTGCATTTAACGTCGTCATATTCATAAGTCCACGGGCTCGTGCGCCACATTTTAGCGCAATTTCCATCACCCATTGGCTGACCCGTAGCCCAAGGAAATTTCCCCATTTCAGTCTCCTCTAATGTGCTGTTATCACTTAGCCATACCCACTTCTGGCCATACTTTTTTAATCCAATGTAATATTGAGTAGTGTTCATTTTAAAGATTTCTGAATGATTTGTCAGGAAGCTCAACTCAGCCGTTAAACGTTCCATGGAAACAAGCTTACTACCACTTTGCTCACAAAGATTCTTGCTTTTTTCCCAGGTAATCTTGGACTTCATATGAAATGTGTAAATGGAGCAATCGTAAACAATCTCCAGGTCTTGACAAAAAAGAAATGTCATAGGTATTATATTATAATTATATTACTTATAATAAATTACAAATGAACGCATCTGATTGGCAGAATAGGGAAGGGGGTAAAAGGATGGGGGGAGGGACATTGGAAGTAAAGGGGTGGTTAGTATCATCTTAGTATCAGTGTTCAGTATGATTATATTGACCTCATTTTCAGGATATCGGGAACGTTTTCCAATATTGTAGTTTAGTGTACCGTTATGTTAGGTTATTTGGAGTATAAAATACAGCTGGGAAAAGAAAGAAAAGAAAAGAAAAAAAAACCGTGAAGGTTATTTAACCAAATTTCTAGGGTAAGAAGATACATTTTAAGATCTAAAACCAAGGAAGTTTTACGCCTTATCCACAATGTAGTAGACCCAAAAAGCTAATTCGATCTTAATACACCTCTTACCGCTGAATATGGGCGTCGTTGCTAAAAATAATGCAAAAACCAAAAAAAAAACAGTAAGGAGTGAAAACTTTATTTTGTTGGCTTCGCCTGTAGGTGCTGATAAGTCGGCCTACACTAGAATTATGAAGCTCTCAATATTTAAATAATGAAAGATTATATCACTCTTGTTTATCTTTTTCTATCGTATAAGTTTTTATTGGTAGAGAAAAGGGCTATATAAATTTCAAACATCGACATGCCTAGTTTCGAACTTAGTGGATCGATCGATCAAGATTACCCAAGAAGTGTAACAGTATTAACCACTCATTTGTAAAACTATAAAACTTGACTGAGATTCCCTATCATGTGCTAGAGACACGCAGGATTAAGGGTACAATACGTACACTGTAAGGTCTTTTCTAGACGGTGCTGAAAAACTGTTAATTCTTAAATTAAAGACCACAAAATTTGGGTTGTTACCGGTAATTACTGACTGAAATGCATGCGCTGGTTTAATGTTCAAGTAGAGACGAAATAACTGCGAAATAAGCCCTCTGAAAAGCTAAGACAAACAATATATTAACGAGTAATGCAAATGAAACTTCGGTGGAAATGCTTAACTGTGCGCGGTGTCGAAGTCCGTGATTTAGGGGCTGCGTTTGAACAAAATTTTAGTGCAACGAAAGTGTTAGATTGGAGTTAGTTACAAATGTTTGATTATGTTGGTTCTGACAGCAACAAAATACTTAGTGCGTTTCAACAGTCAGAAGAGACTATTAACAAGGCAATCCAGAGTACTATGACTTTATAAGGGCGCTAGTTAATGCATGGTATATGCTTGTAATCGTGAAAGGTAGAAGCATAGAACTTGTATTGTCACAACTGTTCTATGTCTTGAAATGCAATATTTTGCTTCCAATGCCAATTTTTTGCTCACGGCAAATTTCTTGCACCTTAGAGCCTTCTTAGAAACTCAAAAATTATCTTCAAACTACCGAAAATAGGGGTGGCGTATATTCATCGGGAGGGCAGTTTCGGGCGACTTTGTACGACTGCTGCGCTATGAGCTTTCGAAAACGACTTTCTAGGGAATTTATTGTTTGACCATGTTTATTTTATCTTACCATTTTTGGCCAGCACTTGTAGACACAGGCACATTAGTGTAAAAAGTACATCCACTGGAAGAAGTTTGTTTGCCATAAGAACATCGACAGCAAATTAACACGACCAAGGTGTTCGTCTCAGTATTTTAAAGCAGTGCCTCAGCTCTTTCACTTACCTCTCCGCTTAAACACTGTTGGTGTTTATCCAGACCCGAAAGGTTACGTATAGCAAAGGATTAAATTAACTGCAAAAACCGTGGACGAAGATCCTGCTAGTTGTAAACGTTGGATCTCTAGAAAAGAGATCAAATCAGTCAAAATATGCAGTAGTCTTTGGACTTCTCGTTCTTGGTTAAATTATTATTCATTGAAAAGATTTCCCCGATTCTGATTAGCTTAAAGCACACGCATAATTCACCATGATCAGCTTCTGATGACCAAATTTGGAAGAATTTTGCGATTAATCAACCGAGACGTCACAAGTGCAGCTTCCTTGCAGGTTAATGCACCGTTAACCGAGAGGACCTGGGGACGAGGTTGAGTTGTTTTGGTTGTGAAAACAAAAATGGCGGACATTTCACTTGTTTCAAGAGAAAGAACTAGGCGAAATAATAGCTAAAAACATGGCAAGAACAGCAAGAAGGCAACTCGAAAGGCGACATCTGCTATTTGGAGAATATTTTCGGAGCAGACAACCCTAAACGTGCACTAGCGAAGATGAAGTTAACATCGATGGAAGTAAGCATGTTTTACTGCTATGTTTTTAAACTAGTAATTATTTGAATGAATAACAAAACAATTATTGAATTCGGCTTTCGTATCATACGAAGAATTATGGAGATCTCGGAGGGTGTTATCTGCCTCGGCCTACGGCCTCGCCGACGGATAACACCCTCATCTATCTCCATAATTCTTCATAAGATACTCAGCCTCATTGATTAACTGTTAAATATTACGCTAATTAGGTTCAATTTCAGCACTGAAACCATGGACTAATGACGTTTTACACTTTTCGTACCTTACAATCAAGAGATATCCAAAATCTGCTGAAAAGGTAAATTCAGTATCAATATATTCTTAAAACAAACTGTTAATTGGCTCCTCCTATAATCTGGTGCTAAAGTAAGTCGTGTAAAATTTGTTACAAATATGAAATTGTTGTTACTGGGAGGGGAACATTCGAGCGCTCTTTCCCATTAGAATGACAAAGCAAGACAAATTAATTCTGTAACAAGGCGGACAAGCACACATTTGAACGGAAGGTGTGTATTTTTATTTTTAAAAATTTCTTAGTAGACTTAGGTTTCAATAGCATCTTTTGGACAGTTATGCATGGCGGTATCACTGGTTTCCTCATAACTAGTTACCTTGTCTGTATTAACAAAATGAATGACTATAAGATAAGTGTTGTTATAAATTGTTAAAAGGGATCAACTTGTAAATTTAATATCGTCCATAGAAAATCGACTTAATTTCAAAGCTTCGAATATAAAAGCACGTCTTGAAGTACCTTCGTTGGTATATAGATCTTAGCCAATAATTTTTGGAACACATTTGACGCGAAAGAGCTAGAGGATATAATTCAATGTGTTGAGAAACAAAGTGCGATATATACAAAGGCTGGGTAATCTGCCAGGTTAATCTGTTTGTTCTTGTTGCCTTTCCGTACAGCCTTCCAGTCGCACAAAGAGAGACTCAGAAGAGAGATAGAAACCCGTTCTTAATTGACTCTCAGCCTGGGTATGTTCTCGGTATGTTCTTATAATTTTGTTAATCTCATCCTGAACAATCCAATTTAAAAAAATTCTTATGTAAAATAGTGTGAATTCCATTAAGTTACACGTTATAAATTGAACACAATACATTCTGGGTTGAAGCATAATTAAAAGCACAAAATGATTATTTCAATTTGTTTTCCAACAGGGTTAAATTCTAAACCGCACTTATTTCCTCCACACCATGTAGTGACTTCGGCTATTGCCTTATCTAAATCTCCCGTACATACAGGCATCTGATATTTCCAATTCTAAACGTACGTGTAATCCAATCAGAGCATATGAAACATTCGATATTTCCAAGGAACCAATCAGCAAAACATCCAGATTCTAGATGTTTTGGTATAAGCGGGGTCATAATTGGCTCGGCGCTATCAAAGGGATTGCGCTCTGGTCCAGAGGCTTTTCGCGCGGGTCACTTTTTAAGACTTGACCGAAACTGGAAACCGCGCATGAAAAGCCGCTGGCACCCAGGGTAGAGGTCGTGACACGCATATTATTTTTCTGCGGTTATTGTTTATCGGCTGGTCGGCAAGATTTGCCCACTAATGCAAAAAGCATTTTCTTTGACCTCTTTTGAAACATAAGGCTCTACTTGCGGCTGAATAAGGGTTTCAGGATGTTTAATTTTCTCCAAAGTGCCTCCTGGATCTGAATAACTAAAAGCGATTTTTTTTTGTCCGCGATGGTTTCCTCCAATGTTTTGTAACGCTGGTCCCAGCTCGTTAGTTTTTGTTTTTTTCCGGAATGTTAAATTCTCTCGGATAGTGATTTACAGATCCAAATTTCAAAAAATGGATTGCACCTTAAACTGGAGCTACATGAACAATGGAGAATTACATTGTGATTCAGTCAAGATTGCACAATTTAAGCAATGATTACTTGGTAATAACTTTTGAATTAGCTAATAACACTGAGTCTTGCGACTGTTCGTTAAGCCACTGCCTGATCAGGCAAGACCATGGTTTCAGTTCTCCACACGAACTTCATCAGTTGCCCGGTTGGCTTGGTTGTTCTTAGTTTACAAGAACAACTGGTTGTCAGTGTAGAGGGGTACAGATTTTGAGGGACGTCGAGGTACACAGGAAGTTGAGTTGAACAGCGATATATTCCTGAGCTTCTTAGTTCTTCCAACTTCGAAGATTTTCTAAGATTTACTAAGCTTTATTAAGCTTACAAAGTGGTTGTATTTATTCTAAACTATTAATTTAAGTAGTTTCTAAGAAAGGTCAATAGTATTCTTATGCGTAAAAATAGGTGTTGGGAGGTGGTAGAACTGATAGAACAAAAGACACCGAATTTAGTTTTTACAATTCAACTGCGTGTGAAAAAAATTTGCAAAACTGAAAATATCTCTGTAGCCAAATTCCTATACACGAAGCTAAAACGATGGTTTGAAAGAAACGATGCAAAAATCTTTAGCCAAAGACTGAAGTGGCCAGCAAAGGTTTGCTAGTAGAATCTAAAGGACATGTGTCTAGCTGTCCTAACAGTTTGTAAACACCATCCTGTGTCCCTTAACAAAAGATATTTGAGATACAATGGAACTTTTGATTTCCGAACCGACCTAAACACAAACTTATTTATATAATATATATCCCTAAACAAAGTTAAAATGCCCAACACCGAAATAAATCGAATAAATAGAATAAAGTGAATAAATATTAATGATTACGAAGAGAACCGCATACAATAAAGCAGTCTCACTGAGCAAAAAGTTCATTTAACATATTCATCTATCTCTAATTTAGCCACTCGTCAGAGATCATGCGCATCATAAGGAAATCTTATTATGGATACAGCGCGTCCGTATTTAAGCGAATGCTCTAAAAAATACTCACGGTAATGTGTTAAATCGATAGCAACAGTGTGATGTTTATAATGTCTAAACTGATTAAACGTCAGTACAAGTAGAGGAAACCTTGAATTCGATTTTCGCTCGTTGAAGTCACGTCAAACAGGGGCACCCAACGAGAATACAGTTCAACACCACGGTAGATATAGGCAAATTTTTATCCCCTAAAAAATTTTCATCTGTTCGGATTTCCTAGCTGAAAGTCTATTGATCAGAAAAAATTATAGGGATCAAAACTTACCTCTTCGAAAATTTCAGCCAGAAAAAAGGCTCCCGAAAACTCTAGGTAACCTTTTTAGGGTAAAAATCCGTTAAAAATAGGCAATTTTACCATTTTTTAGATCTTCGAAAATCCTAGGAGAGGCAGGCAAGCAAGAAATTTAACAACAAATGTTCCGAAAATTCTAGATCTCAAATCGTCTTCCGAACAGATATTTTCCGAAAATTGATGTCGGGTGCCCCTGGTCAAATAGTTTCCCTACTCAGTAAAAATAACGTTTGTCGCGACAACCAAATCATTAACATCTTGAAAAACACTCCTTGACTTTTGTTCACTACACTTTCATTTTTAGCTAGTGGTTCAGACAGACGGAGTCTATCAAACATGTTTTTTTTTTCGCACTGATCACGAGTGGGGGATAGCTCTCATTACCTTTGAACGTGACCTCCTATTGTTGCATGATGTTAGTATTAATATAATATTTATGTATTTGTGGTTCATAGAAGACAGCTAGTTTATCAGGTTTTTTTGCAACTGTCATGTGTCTTTACCTTAGATAAAGTCTCAGTTCTACTCTAATCTACATTATTACATTATCTACATTATTACTTTCGGTCTATTGTCCTTCACTACTATTCGTTGTTTATTGATTGTAATGTACAGAATGATACTTTTATAGGTGTTGCTGTCGTCACTTGCGTGGGGTTTTAAAGAATTTCCTTTAACAACTTTTCTTTTTGTTTTTGGCTTACTTTGGTGTTACATACATAGCACTAAATGACCTGTTTTTGAGATTAATTTAAAAGGCTGGCAACTTCCCAGTTGAAAGCGAAGTCTAACGATAGAAAGAGAAATGCGAGTTCTTAGCGAATTCCAATGGCTGTGGCATTAAAGCCATACTTGGTCCATTGGTCACTGGATGAGTAGGTGCCACAACCTCCAAAATGCACTTCCGTTAAGAAAAAGAACTCGTCCGGCATATTGTGGTCAGTATAGTTGATGGCAATTGCCTTGGAGCGCCAAATGTCCGCCACACCGCCAGAGTCAGAACGGTTACTGGGAGGTTCCAGATTGTAGTTAGGAAAGAATGCAAAGTAGCTGTTGGGGTTTCCGTCGCAATTTGAAAACTGGATTATGTTCCCGTTAGATGTGAAACCTTCACTTCCATTTCGCACAGCTGATGCTGGAATAATTCCAAGTAAAATGTAATCTTTCATGAAGGCGTTTATTGGTTCGGTGTAACCGGCGAAGCTATTGACTAACACCCCAAACTCTGTGTGGGCGAAATTTGGATGCGGCTGGATCAGAGTGTATGACTCGCTGAGGTCCACCCTCTTCTTCAACTTCAGTAGGACGTTTTTCCTGTCTCGAAACAAAGCATTGACAATCAGGTCCGCATGTAAAGTTCTGGTGAGGCCACGAGGAAGAAAGGTGAAGCCCCCACCATGGATGCCCATCTCGCAGTAAACATCAATGGGCTCTTCGTCTGCCAGTGGTTGTATGATGTACACCCCACTCGGCAAATGCGGTGGTAGGCTGTTGCAATCTTTGGGAAACTAAAAAAGGAGAACCTATGTTAATGGCTAGAAGCTTATTTAGCAAACTCGATAAATTAGCTTATTATGAAGTATCCTATTGAAATATTAATAACAAATGTTTAGGAAGACTAACTCGCTGTTTTGAGTTATCACACCTGTATACACGATTCGCATTTTAATACATTGCAATAAAAGATCGTGAGATAACTGGAAACCCGAGTCTCCCTTTACAGGGCTTTCCTGACACAATTCACTAATTACATGAAATTATAGGAATAAGGTCTAAGATCTAAAAACTAAGTATTAAAACAATAGATCAGATAAATAATAACTGATAGCATTAAATATACAAATTATACATTAAATATACAATTAGGCAATCTTTTCTTAAAAACCTTAATATCTTTAATGCCCTGAAGGTCCTTAGGCAGGTCATTCCACCGTTTAGCTCCGCGAAAGTAAAAACCTTCGTTGCCCTACTGACAACCGGCAGCGTGGAAGGCTCAAGTCTCCAGACCTTCTTAAATTTCTACTATGGGTTGCCGAACGTGTTATGAAATAATCAACTGTAAATAACTTCTTGGTGCCAGACCATTTAGACATTTAAAAACTAAAACTAAATCCTTAAATAAAATCTTGGAAACATTCATCCAAACATCCATTTTGAAGATCTACGACCCCCAGAAATATGGTCAAATTTCTTTAACTCTAAAATAATTCTGGCAGCTAAATTCCGCAGTATTTGCAGCTTATGTGAGTTTGATTTAGCTGTAAGTTATGTAACCCATAATTAGAATTTATTGTAATTATATTCATTTATTGCAGATTTGCCAACGTAATGGCTGGCGGGTACTAGCTAACAAAACTGAATATTGAGGTTCGGCCCCGACTAGGTAAATTACGATCCGAAACGGCCCCTCGAAAACACAATTATCAAATCTCACAATGAAAGGCAGACAACAATAAAAGCAAACAAAATAAAAAAATAGGTATAGAGTAATTAACAGCAAGTATGAAGTTAAGTTGGTGAACATCATGATAGGGACTTTGACTTAAGTTAAGGCTGTCATGGGCAAAAGTGATAAGAGTGTCTTTAGTTAGAAAACCGCAAGTTTTACCAAAGCCGTCAGCTTAATATGATTTTAAACAGAAGATTATAATATCCATCTTCTCCATACTCTATTCATGGTACATCTTCGACTACAACAAAATAACTGGATTTGAGCCCCTGTTAACTCGAACAAACTACGTGGGTCCTTTAGAATCCACCTTTGGATACGTGCTATGTATATTTGACACAATACTATTCTTACCATTTTTCTCGTGAAAGTAGTACCTGGTCGATCGGTAAGCTTGGCTTTATCTCTTACGGGAGAGAACTGTTGCTTGATTAGTTCACAACTACCATTGCTGCTCATCCCAAAGGGCTCTTTAAAGTTAGCAGAGGTACACCAAGAGTGCCCTAAGCATGCCTGGCAGCATGAAATAAGGTTGGGTGAATCAATTTTTTTGACCGCTTGGCCTGCTAAATACTTATTCTTACTACTTTTGAAGTAGGCAGATCTTAAGTTTCCGGCGGCGAAGACTAAAGAAGGGATGAAGCAAAAAGTGAGAAACCAAATCATTTTATCTGATATCTCAACCTTCTATCATGGATTGAAGTTGCAGGATGTCCTTCGGTGGAAATTTCCGTTTTCGTTATTAGTATTCACCGCACGTGGTGAACCGCTTTAAAAATGCCTTATTAATGGATGATAAAATGCTCCAATCAGGTATAAGCGTTTTGAAGTTTTAATTATAATAATTTTGTAAAGATTAAGAATGAACCAAAACTTAAAACAGAGAGAGACTTTGAATACTTGAACTGTATGCTAAAGATAAAGGTGGATTACTTTCACAAAAGGAAAGTTCATGATATCATTCAGAGGAATAGACAAATTATTTAAAATTTTCCATGTTTACGTGGAGAAAAACTATTTGTAGCAATTTTGTTTTGCTTGTCGAGGATTGAAAAGAAACCTGTCATTTTTTCCATTTACGCTAATTAACAAAAGTATGCGGTAAAATTGTAAAACAAAGAAACATGTGGATAATAATTGCGTCCACAATATCCAGGAGTGAAGCACTGCCCTACTATATTAAAGAACATAATTATTGTTTGAACAAGATTTGACAGAAACAATGGCATAGCAAGGAGGGGTCCCATGTTGCCCGTGAAACCTCTCCCCAACCTGCAAAGATGCTAAAAAGTTGATAAATTCTAAAATTAGATGTCTTTGAATGGCGATGTCTTATCCAAATAAATGTCACTTTTAGTAACACACGTAATAGATGTCGACACGTCATCTCTCTGAAAAGTCTTAGGTACGCCCCCGGGAATTTGAAAGGACGACCAGTTCCTTCGCTTCAGCGGCTAGGGATATATCAATTTATCTTAAAACCTCTATCGCAATACATAATAGTTCTCAGGTTGCTTCTGCATCTAAGCTACAATGTAGCAAAATCCCGCATTCATTGATTCAAAGACAAGTGTGAGCGAGTCATTTATCTTCAATACAAATATAGAGAAATAAAATTAAAATAAAACATAACATAAGAAATATAGACTTAGCTAGATGTTCTATTGCAAATCATACAAAACATACGTCATGATAAAAGCATAGCAAAACTCGGAAGTCAAACTCGTCATTTTTACAAAATTAAATAACTTGATAAAAATGAAAGATGTATAAAAACAGGTGCGCATGCAAACTCGTGAGATTAGGTGTGTGTTTAATGTAGCATCTAGCCGCAAGTCTAGCGATCTTACATTCAGTATGGCCTTGTTTCAAGAGCGGAAGAAAAGGTTGGTTATTATTATCGTCACTTTAATTTGGAAAGAGTATTGGTGATTAAGTGACAAGAAAACATGAAATTAAAACAGGCTTTAATTCATTAATAGTTCAGCTGTTGGGTAAATGGTTTGCTAGAGGAACCGAAAGGTAAACACACTCACACGACAAGTTTTTCTTATAATCACGTAGAGAAAAATTATAGCTGTTGCTTTTCCCTTGTTTATGAAACATTTGCTAGACCTTTCGTGTATTGACACCGCTTTTTTTTAAAGTTTGAGGGAAAACCTCTTCAAGGAAAACTTTAGTTTCTTGCATGCAAAACAAACAGGTAGATGACAATATTGCACCATCATGGCCTACAATATCAAAAATGCTTGCCCTGCTCTTAACTATTCCTGTTTAAACGAGATTTGTTGAAACCTAACGAAAATATAGCCTTTGAAAATTTTACGAAGATATAGTCATTGAATATTTTCCAGGCGTTTATATGATGGGGAGTGAAAAGGAGGGGAGGGGAGGGTAGCGGGGAGGAGGCAAGTTCGTGCCCCAGCCATACAAACGTTTGTAAAATTTCGCGTCTTTATTATGGAGCAATATCTTTGCTCATTTCCAACGTATCACCTGCTGGTAAGCTTGGTACGTTTCCAGCTCTTTTTAGCAGTGTCAATGGATCTTCACTAACTGGTCTTTCTCAAAACTTGAAAAAAAAACACACAACTTTTGAAGGGTTTATTCAATGTAGTTTTCTTTGCCTCACAAGCGGCAAAAGAATTTAGCTACTATCGTCAATTTTGGCCTTAAAGTAAAAGTAGCCAACATTTGAAACTGACCAGCTTTTTAATAATTTAATTGGTGGGCAAAGTCGTGGGTTTTATACTTTGACAAAAGCATAAGGGGAACTGAGAGATAAAGTTTTCCGCGTTTACGTGGAGACACTTATTATAGCGATTAGTTTGGTTTACTTGTCGAGCAAGAAAAGTATGGTACCTTTCCATTTACAATCCTTTGGCAAATGGAAGGGAAAATCTGGTTGCAGAAAACTTGGTAGTTTTGCAAAACAAACAAACTGGTGGATAGTTATTGCACTATTGTTCACAGTATCTAACCCAATCCAGTATCCGTGCATTATCACAATAACGAAAAAAAAATTGCCTTCCTTTAAAATGTCAATGAAATAATTAACTAAAACAGAAATTTCGAAATGAAGAGACAAGGTGATCCAGCTGATAGAAACATGCCATTCTTCTGCACAACTGATCTTTACTAAAATACAGAGCGTAGGGCTTTTAAAAGTCTTGTAGTCCTATTTAAGAAACGGTTCCCTGAATCGGCATCAATTCGACAGAAATACACTGTTAATCATGAAGATCTATTTAGCACTAAAATTGGGTCCGTTTCGGGGAAAGAAAATTCAGTCCTATTTTTGGGGTCTAATTTGACTTCCTTATTTAGTGCCAATACAGTCCAGTTAGCTTGGGCTGATTTCAGTTGGGCGCGCCCTCGGGCTCGACACGGGCTAAAATGAGTCTAAGCGTGGGCTGGAATAGGTCTTTGATGATAGGGCCGGGCTGCTTTGGCTTAAAATGTACTCAAATGGCCTCAGGAGAGGATGAATCAGTCTTCGGCCTACAGGGCTATAAGTGGCATGCGCAAGTTGTGGTTGAAACAGATATTTTTAATTTACAGTGTACTGATCGTGTTTCGCTCGACGGACTATGACGTAGTCTATAGACTGGCCGTAGTCTATGGTTTACGGCTACTGATGATCAAAACCCATTTTGTGATGGATGTTACTAAAACGGGGCAAGGGAAATGGGTAATTTGATCCCTAGCTCTATCACAGCTAGCCCAAGCGTAATATCAGAGTTTGTATGGCAAAAATAGAGTTTGAAACTTAGATGAAATAAATGAAGTAAAAGCCATAATAGCTATCAATAAAGTGTAAATATTGTTACCTGGAGTCGTTGTCTTTGTTTTTACGAAGTTTCAGCGCGATTTGAGTTGAGTACTTTTCATCATCTGACCTGACAGTGTAATAATAAGAGACAAGGTAGGACAGAACCGCTCGATCGATCTTGAAAGCTGCTCAGAATCAGCTCCAAATTTGACGCGAAAAAACAAACACACTTACATTTTACGCCGCCGAATCCACAAAGTGATACCTTAAAATCACCTTGCTGCAATCCGTTCCGGTAAACCTTGCGTTTGGATCACACAACTCGATCGAAAAGATTGTAGGAAGGTGATCTTAAGGTACCACTTTCTATTTTTCCCATACAAACTCTCTTATTACGCTTGGGCCACCTGTGGCTCTATCAGTAACTTCATTTCCATTTCTCTGTTTAGTTTTCATTACCCCGTTCCTTGTTTTAGGAACATCCATTGTGTGACACTCAGGTACTTGTACACTGATACCATGCAAAATTTCATATAAGTCCTACTGATGAAAATTTTCCAAGGTGCTGTAGATATGGTCTTGTTCTGAGTTTTCAAGAATCAATTAAGAGACTCAAACAATTTTTAAAAACCTTTTATTTTCCTTTTTCGCGCCTAGTGTTACGTTAAGCCTGTTTTTCCTTTCCTGTTTTTACCTTAAAACTTGTATGACTTAAACTTAAAAATGGATTCATTTGAATCTTAGTGTTTTACAAATTCAAAAAGCAGTCAACTGAAAATCAGTCAATGCTTTTATTTTATCAAGACTATTTAAAAACTGAAACGCTCAATATTTACCAGTATGAACACCCCAAAGGCGGGAAAGATTAAATGTTATGATCGCCGCACTCTTAGCGAATTCCAATGGCGGTGGCTTGAAAGCCAAACTTGAACCAGCGGTTACTGGAGGTGTAGGTTCCACAACCACCAAAATGCAGCTCTGTCAAGAAGAAGAACTCGTTCGGCATGGTGCGAACAGGATTGGTGATGGGAACTGCTTTGGAGCGCCAATCGACAGCCACATAGCGAGTTTCAAAACCACATTTGGCGCAGTAGTTACTTGGAGTTTGCAGATTGTGGTTTGGCATGAATGCAAAATAGCTGTTGGGATTGGCATCGCAATTTCTAAACTGGATTTTGTGCCCGTTGGATTTGAAGCCTTGGACATTACGGTGGCGTGCCTTGTATGCTGGAATTATTCCGAGAAAAATGTAATCTCTCATGAAAGCGTTGACTGGTTTAGTGTAACCGTGGTAGCTGTTGACCCTCGCCCCAAACTTCGTTCTGGTGAAGTAAGGATGAGCCTGGATCAGGGTATATGACTCACTGAGACCAACTTTTTTCTGCAACTTCAGCAAGACGTTTCTTCTGTCTCGAAAAAGTACATTTACAATCCTGTAGGCATGTGGTGTTCTAGTTAGGCTTCGAGGAAGAAAGGTGAATCCACCGCCATAGATGGACATCTCGCAGTACACTTCAATAGGCTTAATGTATGACAGCGGTCGTATCTTGTACCCCCATTCGGTGAATTACGTGGTAGGTAACGGCAGCTTTTGGGAAACTGAAAAGAGGAAGAATATGCATTAATACTTTAGGGGGCTCAGGGTGGGTAGGGGGGTGGGGATTTCGAGGCAATAGTCAGGGCCACCAGACGACTGCTGTAAAATGTCTGTTCGGAGAAGCAAATATTGCCTAGAGCCCTAGACAGTTCCATTAATGTACAATTTTCGTATAAATTCGTCCCTACGATTTTCTGAAGCATATTTTTCACATTTCACACTCCAGGTTGGACTATTTTTCGTACGAAAAAGGCAACCTAAACTTTTCGGATTCAAAAATGTGATAGAGAGAGGAATTTTAAAATTTTCACTTTCGTAACTCGCTAAATTGCATCTAAAATTTTCGAGAAAATAATACTGAGGCCCTTGCAATTTCGAAAAGACTTAGTTTCCCTAGGATGACCGAACACATACACATTTTATAGCTCTTTGTAAAGATCTAAAAGTACTCTGGATAGTCTAAAAAAAATGTTTTCAACGCATTTGGTTGCCTCTGAATAGTCAGGATATTAAGAATGGTTTCATTAAATTAAAAAGAGAAAGCATTGAGTAGTTATAGTCTGTGTATGGACTTGTTGCTATCTATACCTCGCCGTTGTAACCCGGCCTTCTAACGCCATTTGACTCCCACGGTATTACGGTAAAAAGAACGACAAGAAAAGTCAAGTAATGCATCTGAAATAAAAGACAAAGAGTTTTACATGTAAATTGGAAAACCAAACATTAAACGTTAATAAAACCAAACTGCAAAATCCCTTCCCTTTCAAATAGCAGAGCCTTTGCAAAAAACTTTTTACCTTTAGCCAGCAAAAATAACAATTTTCAGCTGGTGGAGAAAATGTCTGAGAAATGAAGGACTCTAGAGAGGAGGAGAGGCCAGATGTTTACTGACCAATCACATTTGTCCCAAAGTTCAAAGATTTTTAAACATTTTGCTCCTTTTAGCATTACATCGTTGCGCATCGACATAGTTGATATAATTATAAGGAACACCCCAAGTTCTAGCAAGAAAAAACGAGAGAAATAAGAATACCTGAACAAAATTATTCCAGTTGCTGCGACTAGTTCTAACTGGGCTTTTAAAACTGGGTTGTATAGAGCACCCTTAAGAGGAAATTGAGTCCCGTACGATATTTTACGTCCACTTTGTTATATTACAGATAACAACTGTTCTCAAGCATGGAAGGATGAATTTTATCCTTTCGTGTCTCAAGGTAAAAGATCTGCCTTTCTCACTAATTTGTCGTTTTCCCAACGTAACTTGGAAGTTACATTCACCTATCATAAAAGCTGAGCTCCCAAGTCACTCTTTGCCTGATGCCAACATTCGTAACTGATTGGGAGTCAGTCTCAACAAGGCGAACAATAAAATTTAAACAGCTCTATTATGAAGTTTTAAGAATTTAATGAGGTTTTCAGATCTTCACTGAACTATCCCATGGTGAACGTCTTGGTTGATTATGGATCTCGAAAACTATTTTATATCCTCTTTCGAAAAACTCGGAAAAAGCCGTTTAGGGTAAGTCTCGAAGTCTCTCTTTTTGTGGTTTAACGGAGTCTCACAAGTACACCCGTTGTTTTTTCAAAACATTGAAAAATAGACTTTAGAAGCAATAAATTAGTAAAATACTCACCCTGGCTGGTTAGGCTTTTGTTGTAGCAAATCCCTATCTTGACTACCCAGTGTACTAGCTGGACTCGTCAACACCTTGTTGATCTCTAAACTTTAATAGGCACCTAACCCGGAAAAAAGAAACACTCAAACGGCGTGATATGGGCCATCATCATAACATCATCGGTCGGCTTCGCAATGAGCGTATTTATTTAGGTAACTATAGTGAGCTTATTCCTGTTGCTGACCTTTTATATTGTACTTTCACTTTGAAATGTTAGTGACATTTTTAGTGTTAAGTCATCCAACTATAACTAAAGAAATAAGGATTTTCATATACCCAATACTGTACGTTACAGGAAACATTCTATGAGGTACTTTAGACCATGGTCTAGATTAGACGGTAAAGCCACAGATAAACCTAGCTTGCAATCTTTTAAATCCAGCATACCACCCATTTACCTTGAAAAACTCAGTTATAAACGACAATCGTAGTTCCTGTATAATCAGAAACTCTTAAGTGCTTTAGAGACTGATTTTGTTTTACACATTTTCCGGTAGATATTTTACCGGTATTAGGGTTAACTTCGTAATTTTAATTTTTTAATGTTTCTAAATTTTAGAGTTCGCAGGCTACTGTAGATATGGTCTTGTTATGGGCTTTCAAGAATCAATTTTTAACAACCGTTTATTTTCCTTTTTCGCGCCTAGTGTTACGTTAAGCCTATTCATCTTTCTCTAATTTAGCCACTTTTCAGTGATCATGCGCATCATTTAAGCAATAGAAAACGTTTTCTGTGTTTGCATAGCCCGATATAAACACGAGAGGGGTTGGGAGAATTCGAGACAGTTATGCAAACCCGAGACGAAGTCTGGGGTTTGCATAACTGTCGAGAATTCTCCCAACGCCTCGAGTATTTATATCAGGCTATGCAAACACAGGAAAAAAGTTTTCTATTGCTTTTATAAAATGACTTTCCCGAGAAAAAAACGCAAAACTCCTTGTATGGCACTGATTAAAAGAGAAATTCTTACCAGTCGCAAAATCTTGTCCACGAAGTCTTGCACGCGTAATCAGTTCTTGTTTTGCAAAAAGATGCTTTACAAAATACGGATTTTTCTCGCTTACAATGTCAGCTTAAGCGAAGAAAAATTGACTAACCTTCTTTGTAAGGATTTTCCATGTTTCAGCCGACTAAGGAATGGCTAAATAAAGTAGACTTGTCGAGTTTTGAACTCGAAAACTTTTTCAAATTCATGCTTGCGTGGTTAGCGCGCGAAAAGCCAAACAACTTGACGCCACAACCATCGTTACATACTCTCATGCAAACACTCCCCTCGGCCAATCATAGCGCGCGTACTATCTTAGTTATTTTATAAAAGTAAATCTTATCATGGATGCAGCGCGTCCGTATTTAAGAGAACGCTCTGAAAAATACTCACGGCAACGTGTTAAATCGATATAGATACCAAGACATACTTGATAGCAACAGTATGATGTTTAATATCTCAACTGATTAAACGTCAGTACAAACAGCCTTGAATTGGATTTTCGCTCGTTGAAGTCGCGTCAAATAGTTTCCGTACTCAGTAAAAATCATTTTTGTACAGTGTATCAAACGCGGCAACCAAATCATTAAGTCTTGGAAAGCACTCCTTGACTTTTGTTGACTGCACTTTCATTTTTAGCTAGTGGTTCAGACAGACGCTGATCACGAGTGCGGGATAGCTCTCATTACCTTTGAACGCGACCTCCTATTGTTGCATGATGTTAGTATTAATATAATATTTATGTATTTGTGGTTCATAGAGGACCGCTAGTTTATCAGGTTTTTTTGCCACTGTTATGTGTCTTTACCTTAGATAAAGTCTCAGTTCTACTCTAATCTACATTGTTAGCGGAGCTCCTGCGCGCGCGAAGCGCGCGCGCAACGGAGCACCATGGGTAAGAAAATTTGGTAAACTATCCATCCCAGAAAATTTGGTTATGACGTAGCGTACGCCCGTCCGTACACACACTTCATGTAAGCCGATGTCAAATGTCACAATAGATCTTGCACAACTTGACTAGCCTCTTAGTTATGTAAGCCATCCGTATGAGTACGATTAGATTAACAGCTGTCAAAATCAGACATCCGCTGACAATTATCACATGACCGTCTCGCGGGCTCAGATAAAAGACCAGTCGTTTTGCCCCTATATATAAGCTGATATGATATGTCACACTTACCAATTCAACATAAAAACGAAACTACGGCGGGCAAGGCTGTCAGTTGGCTGACAGTCGTTTAAAGTTACATTGGCAAGCCAAATTAAGGTCAATTGACAGCTGTCAAAATGGGACATGTGCAGACCGCTATCAGAAAACTAATAACGAGGGCTCAGGTTCGCTCAGGTACACGATCTGGCTGGACGGAAATGTCCTACTCACACTCGTAGTCTGTTAATTCGAATATTCGCCATTGTAATGAAGGTTAATTGACAGCTGTCAAACTAGAGTATACGCTGACCATCATCACCTGAGTGGATCGCGGGCTCATTTTTCTATTTATTGAGGTCACGTAGTGTTTAAAGTTTTGCGCTGATATTTTATTTGATCACGGACTCAATTCGAAGCCCCATAGCTTTATAGAAAATCTATCCATCCTAGAAAATTCGGCAATCACGTGACCGCACACCGACCACCCGACCTTCCGTCCGTCCGCACCACAGGCATACCAATGTTTAATCTCACACTTTCTAGCTTGTTTGGGAGCCTGCATCCTGATATTGTACATCCATGTTTTGATTAATTGACAGCTGTCAAAACAGTGTTTCTGCTGACCAGTATCGCCTGACCGTATCGCGGGCTCAGGTATCGACCCTCTGAGTTCCAGTAATATTTTGAAGATATTCGCTGACAAGTTGCTACTTTTCAAATGATCGCAGCCTCAAGTTCAATTTTTTTAAAATGCATATGAAATAAGTCGTGTTCCATGAGCCGCTCTTTTAAAATGTTGATTTCGAACTGATCTCGGACACGAAAATTCAACCGGCTTTTACATTTACATGCAGGGAAGGCAATCGCTTCTGACTTTTCTCACTGTCACGCGTTGATCACGCTCTACGTCCAATTTTTATGTTCTGATTGGTCAAAATTTGACAGGTGAGTTTATGCGGAAAATTTTTGCAGCGTCTGGAAACTTGCTTACTGATAGCTGGAGCTGAGAGAGTTTTGTGTCATCTTGTCATGTTTTAAACTGTCTTCTTCTACTTGGTGTACAAAATGAAATACAGCTGCTATCAAGAATGTTCTGTAATTCGTGGCTGGTTTGTTTATTGCGCTTTTTGTTGACAAATGCACCGCTTGTCAAAGTCATTGGAAATCCGATTTCGGATTGCATCGTTTTCAAAAATGAGCTTACTCACTTGCCCTTGCTTGACGCGTAAGAAGGTTGAAAAGTCTCAAGCGATTCTGGAACACTTGATGACCTTCAGAAGCAGCATCTCGACTGGTAAGCTTGAGCCATTATTGTTTTTGATGTTTATTTTTTCGGTTTCCTGAAGTCGAGCGTATGGTTTATGCGGCTTAAGTTAAATCACGAGCAATGATCTAACCTACAATAGTATCAGGTTTAAAAAGCCTTTAGACATTTTTTGACCCGCAAATTCAAAGAAAAGGTTCCGAAGATTATTTAGTTATGATTTTGGCTGTAAACAGAAAGCTCTGAGCGATTTTCTTGCCTCGAGTTCATCTTGAAAAAGAGCGAACACCGGGAAGCCGGATTAAAACATAAATAAGCTTATGCTTGCCTGACTCATGATTTTCTGAGACACTTTACTCTCAATACTTCTCTTCGTGAATGACAATTATTGTCTCTGTACATGTTTCACCGAATTAAACTTATTTTATTGATTGTTAGTAGTCCCTCTCGCAATTTTCATCGCTGCACCGGTTGTTTCCAGTCGAACATAAACATCGCATGTAGGAATACTCAAAACGCCGCGCGTAAATATCACTCGCTTTTAAAGATTACACATAACAAAATCATACACAGTTTAATGAATAAAGGGAAATAAAACCTAGACATAACAATTTGTCTATCATGTTGAAGCGTAAATGGTAACTCTATTAATCGCACTGCAATTTGTGCCTGTCAAAAGTGAAAATTCGTCCGGCTGGCCGAAAAGTGATTTGGGGAATTTTTTTTATCGTTTTCATTTAAAGCCCGTAATTATTACCCTGCATATAACATAGGACCAGATTTTTCAAACTGAAAAGTCCGTGCATTACCTGAGAATTCTCTTCATGACAACGTTTTACAATTCAATGCTATAAGTTGTTGTGCAAAGGAAGCGCGTGCTTTGATCGTCGTGGATATTGAATGAATGCAAATTCTCTTGCAAAATTGTGAAAAACTGCCGAATTATAGGTTTAAATAGGGCAAAAAAGAAAAAATTCTGTCCGAGGTCTGTATGATAAAAAAGGGCCTCAGAGTACTGTTTACCTGAGGCGTGATGAGAAAAAGTATGTTTATAAGGCTGGTTTACACGCCACCAGATTCGTCGCCGAGATTTACTAGTAAACTAAACTTGTCGAACACAAAAACTCCGGCCTGATTTTTTATTTTGGCCTCTCTTTTAGACAGAGGAATGCAACGTGTAAATTGGCTGCCACCAAGGACTATCGTGGCGCATGTGTTTCTTAAAATTATATTTCGGGGTTGTCCAATTATCCATAGTCTCTCTAACGGAGCAATGTTGGAGAGACTGGTGAACGCCACATTATGATGCTACAGCTAATGCAAAGACAATACACGAATAGGTCTATTTGTTTTCCAGGCCTAATCTACTGTGATCGAACATGATTGCTATTTTTCGGTGTACAAATAACTGTTTCACTCTTGGACTGTCAAATTCTGATTTTTCTCTAAAATCACTCAGCCTTTGCCTCAAAAGTCAAATGAATGTGCCCTGATCTGTGGATTACAAGTTTACTGTTTGATTTAAATTATGAATTTATTAACGGAGCTTCGCTTTTAGCCCTGGCTAAATCTATATATTACATTAAATACTGTCTGATGAGTGCGTGAGCACGAAACTCGGAGTAACAGAGAATTTTGTCTCTTCGTTATATCTTCTTATTACATTATCTACATTATTGCATTCGGTCTATTGTCCCTCAACTACTATTCGTTGTTTATTGATTGTAATGTACAGAATGATACTTTTATAGGTGTTGCTGTCATCACTTGCGTGGGGTTTTAAAGAAGGAGGGGTTTTTCCTTTTAACAACTTTTCTTTTTGTTTTTGGCTTACTTTGGTGTTACATACATAGCACTAAATGGCCTGTTTTTTGAGATTAATTTAAAAGGCTGGCAACTTCCCAGTTGAAAGCGAAGTCTAACGATGGAAGAGAAATGCGAGTTCTTAGCGAATTCCAATGGCTGTGGCATTAAAGCCATATTTGGTCCATTGGTCACTGGATGAGTAGGTGCCACAACCTCCAAAATGCACTTCTGTCAAGTAAAAGAACTCGTTCGGCATACTGTGGTCAGGATAGGTGATGGGAATTGCCTTAGAGCGCCAAATGTCCGCCACACCGCCAGAGTCAGAACGGTTACTGGGAGGTTCCAGATTGTAGTGAGGAAAGAATGCAAAGTAGCTGTGGGGTGTTCCGTCGCAATTTGAAAACTGGATTATGTTCCCGTTGGATGTGAAACCTTCACTTCCATTTCGTACAGCTGATGCTGGAATAATGCCAAGTAAAATGTAATCTTTCATGAAGGCGTTTATTGGTTTGGTGTAACCGGCGAAGCTATTGACTAACACCCCAAACTCTGTGTGGGCGAAATTTGGATGCGGCTGGATCAGAGTGTATGACTCGCTGAGGTCCACCCTCTTCTTCAACTTCAGTAGGACGTTTTTCCTGTCTCGAAACAAAGCATTGACAATCATTTCCACATGTAGAGTTCTGGTGAGGCCACGAGGAAGAAAGGTGAAGCCCCCACCATGGATTGCCATCTCGCAGTAAACATCAATGGGCTCCCGTCGGCCAGTGGTTGTAGATGTACACCCCACTCGGCAAATGCAGTGGTAGGCTGTTGCAATCTTTGGGAAACTAGAAAAGGAGAACCTATGTTAATGGCTAGAAGCTTATTTAGCAAACTCGATAAATTAGCTTATTATGAAGTATCCTATTGAAATATTAATAAAAAATGTTTAGGAAGACTAACTCGCTGTTTTGAGTTATCACACCTGTATACACGATTCGCATTTTAATACATTGCAATAAAACATCGTGAGATAACTGGAAACCCGAGTCTCCCTTTACAGGGCTTTCCTGATACAATTCACTAATTACATGAAATTATAGGAATAAGGTCTAAGATCTAAAAACTAAGTATTAAAACAATAGATCAGACAAATAATTACTAATAACATTAAATATACAAATTATACATTAAATATACAATTAGCCAATCTTTTCTTAAAAACCGTAATATCTTTAATGCCCTGAAGGTCCTTAGGCAGGTCATTCCACCGTTTAGCTCCACGAAAGTAAAAACCTTCGTTGCCCTACTGACAACCGGCAGCGTGGAAGGCTCAAGTCTCCAGACCTTCTTAAATTTCTATTATGGGTTGCCGAAGGTGTTATGAAATAATCAACTAAATAAACTGGTGCTAAACCATTTAGACATTTAAAAACTAAAACTAAATCATTAAATAAAATCTCGGAAACATTCAGCCATTTTAAAGATGCACGACCCTCAGAAATATGGTCAAATTTCTTTAACCCTAAAACAATCCTGGCAGCGAAATTCTGCACTATTTGCAGCTCAGTGTAAGTTTGATTTAGCTGTAAGTTATGTCAGTTTGATTTCAATGTAAGATAAAATTTAGTAACCAATAATTAGAATTTATTGTAGTAAATTGTAAATGTAATGTATTGTATTTGTTTGTATACCCGAAATTAAAAAAAGTTTGATTTGGCTGTGTTTCCCTATACAGAGGAACAATATAAAATAACTTGCTAAAAACATTTTAAGCTATTTATAAGTAATATAAGTGACTTTCTGTCTAAGAGGTGTTTATCCTATTTACCTGTACCAACTGATGAAAACAAGTAGAAGCTGTTTTAGTTATATGGATGTTATAATTGAGACATTGATCCTTCGCAACTAAAACCGCGGATATAGTTTTTCCTAGTTCTGTGAGTGATATAGAAGGTAACTGACTGGTGAGTGGGGGTAAACCAACGACTATAAACTTAGTTTTTTCAGGGTTGATAAGTAAGGAATTAGTTGAGCACTAAAAGAGATTAAAGCATTGTTCACATGTGAGATGGCGTTAGCTGAATCTGATACCTCTGATAGCCCGTCGTAAGTTTTACTCAGACTTTATTGTTGAAAATAACTCCAATCAAAGGAACCTATTCTCGGCAACAAAGAGGTTGCTAAATCAAGGTCATGAAGTACCTTTTCCACCAACTAGTGACAAGCTGGTTTTAGCCAATGAAATGGGTAGATTCTTTGTTGAAAAGATTGACGCCATCCATGTCAAACTGGACAGACTAGCCGATTGTTTGCATGATTCTCATTTTGACTATGTGAAAACGTTACCAACTAGAACTCTGGACAGGTTTATCCCTTTAACTGAAAGTGCTGTTAGTAAGTTGATTGGCTGCTCTCCGAAGAAAAGCTGTATGTTTGATCCGATGTCAACATCTATGGTAATCAGCTGTGCTGATGTGCTACTACCAGTCATTACTAAAATGATCAACCTGTCTCTTAATTCTGGAGAATTTGCGGATGATTGGAAATGTGGGCTTATTAATCCTATCTTGAAGAAACCTGGATTGGATTTGCTGTACAAAAATTACAGACCAGTTAGTAACTTACAATACGTATCCAAGTTGACTGAAAAAGTCGTTTTTAATCAAGTTTACGATCACATGGTTTCAAATGCTATTTTTCCTGCGCTTCAATCTTCTTACAGGCAATTCCATAGCACTGAAACCTGCACTTATCAAGGTGATGAACGATATTTTGTTAAAGATGAACTCTCAACATGTCACTATGTTAATTTTATTGGATCTCAGTGCTGCCTGTGACACTGTTGATCATCGAATACTTTTAGAGAGGCTATCTGACGAGGTTGGCATACGTGGGACTGCTCTGAATTGGTTTAGATCGTACTTGTCTGATAGAAGTCAGCGCGTTTCTGTACATGGAGTTCTTTCTTGTCCTTTTGACTTGAACTGCGGGGTACCCCAAGGCTCATGTTTAGGGCCTTTGCTATTCATAATATATGCGTCCAAGCTGTTTAAGATCGTGGAACATTATCTTCCTGATGCTCACTGTTTCGCTGATGATACGCAGCTGTATCTGAGTTTTAAACCACTCGGCAACACTGCTCAAGCTGATGCTATACAAGCTATGGAAAAGTGCATTGACGCGGTGAGGAAATGGATGATTCAAGATCGGTTGATGATCAATGATGATAAAACGGAGTTTTTGTTAGTTGGCACACGACAACAGCTTGATAAATTAGATTCGTGTTCCATAACTGTGGGCAATAATCGTATCAGTCCAAGCCCATGTGTTAAAAACCTTGGATCGTGGTTTGACAGCAACTTAAGCATGACTGATCATATAAACAAGGCTTGTAATGCGGCATTTTATCATTTACATAACTTGAGACGTATTAAGAAATACCTGTCGAGAGATTCTTTAATTATTTTGGTTCATGCTTTTATAACCAGCCGTCTTGACTATTGTAATGGTTTATTGTTTGGCTTACCAAATGTGCAGATCGCTAAATTACAGCGTGTACAAAATGCAGCAGCAAGACTTATTCTTGGCATTGGAAAGTTTTCTCACATTACACCGGCGCTTTATGAGCTGTACTGGCTGCCGGTTTCTTTGCGTATTGACTATAAGATTTTACTTTTGACTTTCAAATGTATTTATGGCCTAGCGCCAACTTATCTTAGCGATCTTATTAGTATAAAATCGAATTCACTATATAATCTTAGGTCTACTGGTAAGCTCTTATTGGACCATCCCAAGGGAAAGATGCTTACAACATTGGGAGCGAGATCATTCTCAGCAGCAGCTCCGAAACTCTGGAATGAGCTACCTGTGGAGCTTCGTCAGGCAACATCACTTAACAGTTTTAAATCTCGACTTAAAACCTATCTTTTTAAGAAGTATTTTTATAGTTTGTAACTTAGTTTATTTTATTCTCACGGTAATGTATTTTCGTTTTCTTTTAAACATATGATTGTAAAGCGCTATTGATCAGCACATGTAAATACGCGCTATATAAATTGGTAAATTATTATTATTATTATTATACCTCAAACTTGAAAAACTGCTGATAACCATCAACATACAGGTTCACTTGACTATTACTAACTTCATTAGTAAGATCATCCGTAATAGATGGTGAATAGGATTGGACCCAGAATTGAGCCCTGGGATACCCCTGCATTGTGTTCTATAGGAAGTATTTCTGAGATAGACAGCGAGCCCGGCTCTGCTTTCTGAATAAACCTGGAGGGCTAAACATTTTTTTTTCATTAATGTTGATTAGTTATCTGACTTACGAAATTCTGTATTCTTAAACTTGGCTATTGTAGTAGATGGTTTGCATGCAATGGTTACCCGGGGGAGGCATACTCCCTTATATGGCCAATACGGGGATGTGCCTCTGGACAGAGCATTGTCCGGGTACAAAATCTAGACACACTAGACACGAACGAGCCATTAATTAATCCTTACATCATTCAAATAAGGACCCCAGGAAAGTTCAAGCTTTCCTTTTTATATCTTATAACAGGTCTACACAACACCGTCCTTATCTAACGCGTAATCTTTAAAGAAGTAATAGTAGCTTACATATTTTGACCAACTTAATCAGGCGAAGCCTGTAACACTGTCGAACCACAACAGAAACAAAAACACGAAATCCGATTAGTCGCTGGCCAATACCTTTGTATGAACCTGTTTTTATAAAACTCACTTGGGGTCATACACTGAGCCGGCTGACCATTTGGTCCGTTATTCTGTCTTGATTTGGTCCCATATAGGAACAAAAGGAGTATCATTCCATCTTTAAACAATTTTTCTAAGGCGCCCTCTAAGGCAAATACCTTGGGGATAGTAAAAAATTATCCTTCCCCGCGTACAACACGTAACACCTTGCAATTCTTCCGAGAGTGCTCAGGATTATTTTTTTCCACAAAATGGAAAGGATAATAAACCAAATCATCCATTACTACTTGAATTACCCTATCTAAGGACACAAAGCCAACAAGGTAAAAAATGATATCCTATGAAGAGCCATAATATAATATGTCCCATTATGGCTCTTGACCCTATTTAAGGTTCGCGATCCTCAGCAGTACTTACCTACCTAGCTCATATATGGGATTACCCCCTTCCAAGACTTCACGTGTCACATGGCAAGCAAACTGAACATGGATTTGGACGACGAATGCCAGGGTATTTGATTTCAATTATATGAAATGATTCATATCGTTTCTTTTGGTGACATGTCACAGGAAGTTTCATGTCTTTCATAAAAAAGCGATTCTCTTTGGTCACCTGATCAATCAAGGCAGAAAAATTTATAACGGAAGACATGCATGTTTGACCAAAGAAAATAATTTAAGTTTGTAACAAAGTGCGATAGAATTATTACAAATTGCGACAACTTAGTTCATTACAAAGTGTGATGGACAGTGATTACAAATTGCGACAGCCTTCTTATTACAAAGAGTGACATGGTTTATTGCAAATTGCGACAGGTATTACAAAGTGCTATGATTATTACAAATTGCGACAGTACACATATCCAATAATACTAACAATGATACAGTTTTTTCTTCAATTGCTTTCAAGAGTTGGTCATTGACATATAAAAGGGCAGTTTCAGTAGAATTGTGTGACTTGCAACACTTTGTTGAATTGACAATTTATTAGTTCTTGTTAAAAAGTCAGAAAACTGTTTTTGGGCAA